TAACTTTAATCGTAAATTGTGTGTTTTGAATATTGAACCAGATAAGATTTATCACATTATAGTACAATATATTTTTGAAGTAATGTTAAGTGTACATTGTGGGGTTGATATCTTTGTATACATTCCATTGGACTTCAAAAAGCATTGGACAAATTTTTATTTTTTTTTCCTTTCAAAACTATCCAATATCAAAAATGACGTAAAAAAAAAGTACATATAGCATGATTAATATTTTTAAAGAATTTATGCTAATAGTTTTCCCAAAAACATGTGTAAAAATAAGATGATGTAATCTTGGGACAAAATCATAGATACATTTGATGAGCTCAGCACGAAAAAATAAACTAAGATAAAGAATTTGATTATGATAAAATTTCTTACCTCATGATTGCTCTTAGAAGATGATGATAATGATAATATTGTAGATTGATATGGAGCTACTTGAGAGTACTGTAGCAATTGAAAGGCAAACTAAAGCGTATATGAAATTAGTGTTCGTTATGAACAATAATTTAATTTCTTTTATCATGATGATGATGTTGCTGCTCCTGTCCAATATTAGTGGGTTGTTAAGGTACTAGGCCCTACGGTCTCTACCTGGAGCCCAATATCTAGTGGCTCTCTGCAGGATGCATTGACCATCAGCGGCGAATCCAAGATCCAAGTCTAGCTAGGGTGGATTGACCATTGATCGACGACCGTTGATCGTTGACGATCGTAATAGTCCGATCGTTTATTAAAATTTGGTTACATAATATTAAAAGTTATTCAATATATATGTAAATGAACTAAAACGTCAAAATCGTATACATATGAAAATATACTTCGATACAACCCAAAATAGTAAAAAAAAATATACAATACAACCTTACTCAGTTACTCTGTAACTGTAAACTTAGATAACTGAATTCTACGGGGTCTCATGATTTGAAAACGTTGCAATATTGCCTCATTCTCAAGTTTTTTAGAAATAGCTTTCTTCACGTAAACCACCAAATTGTCATTCAACCAGTCATCTCCCATTTTGTTGCACAAATCACTCTTGATTAGATTCATAACAGAAAATATCCTTTCAACACTTGCAATTGCCACAGGTAATATTAAAGCCAAGCTAAGCAGTTTATAAACCAATGAAAAATAACAGGAACTTCTAGTTTCAATCAACTTCTGAGCTACACAGGATATACTATTGAGATTAAAGAAAGTTTCGTCCATTCTCATAAGCAAAAGAAACTTATCAAACTGAGGTCTAAGTAATAAAAATTATTCACTATTGAAGTCCAAAGGATAGAACTGAGCAAGACGTAGCAATTTATCCTTATCAAAAGCTGCAAATGAATCTTTTGAACTTAAACATGAAATGCAAGTAAAGAGCTCAGTAGTTGTTTCTGAAAATCGATCATTTAACTCTTGCAAGATTGAGTCTATCACATGACAACACAAATCAACATAAAAGCGATGAAAATAAGGCATCTGCTGAGCTACACGCCTAGGTCGACCTTTCACTACTACAATATCCTCTATATTAGACACTAAAATATGTCTTTCAACACAAAACCTAATCACCTTACTGAACAAAGTATCCCAACCACTCTCTCAAGTTCTGCAATGCACACTTACACAAATTCAATAACCTCGTAGCATTCTGAATATCCTGATCATTTTTCTGTAAGGCTTGCGAAAGGTCGTCTGTAATTGCAAGAATTTCAAACATAAAGTGAAGACTGAACACAAACTCAAAATCTTGCATATTGTTCATCTATCTTAAGGCCGAAGATTTTTTTATCTGAATGTACGTTATCTTCTGATATATTCTCAAGAACATCTATAATAGCATTAGATATATTAATGAAACGAGTAACTGTCAATAAATGTGAGCCCCACCTAATATTACCTGGGCATGCCAAACTCATTTCTTGAAACTAACCACTTCCACTAGTAAGTTCCCCAGTATTAAGCTTCTCCAGAATATCAGTTTGATAACTTGTTCGAAGAGTATCTACACGCTTACATGATGCACCAACCAAATTCACAATAATAGCAAGTACGTCCAAAAAATCACCAACCATACAATTCCTACGCGCCACAGATACAATTGCCAACTGAAACTGGTGAGCGATGCAATGAACATACATAGCACGTGGGTTCTCTCTAAGAATTAAAGCTTTCAACCCATTGAACTCACCTGACATATTACTTGCTCCATCATAGCCTTGACCTCTTAGACTAGATATACTTAACCCATGTGTAGAAAATATTGCATCAATGGCATCCTTCAGTGATTGGGCACAAGTATTAGTGACATGGGACATACCCAAAAAACACTCCTTCGCTCGCCCACTTTTATCAACAAACCTTAAAACAACTGCGATTTGTTCTTTCACAGAATTATCACGAGCCTCATCAACTAAAATTGAAAACAAAGAATTACCAATCTCATTAATAATAGCCCTTGTCGTCTCTACGGCACAACAATTAACCAAATCCTTTTGGATGGTTGTGAAGTTATTTGGTCATTTCCAGAAGCATTACTAAATAATACTTCTTTAATTTCCTTACAACGAGCTGCATACCAGTTCAATAACTCAATTAGATTTCCTCTATTAAGAGACTCTTTCGATTAATCATGACCACGAAATGACAATCCTTGCATCAGGAGAAGTCTAGTACAATCTAGAACCGCAATCAAAATGGTCGTATAACTTTGTTGTTGACTACTACTTTGGCTAGAAATAACGTAAGAGATACTTTGCTTTTGATTCATCAAGTTAGTACACTTTGCAAAAGCTTGATTATGAGAACTATCAAAGAGACCAACATGATCTTTCAATGTCTTTTTGTGCTTCCAATCCCTAAAGCCGATCTTAGTAAATATATGTCCACCCCCTTGACCCCCTATATCGGGTTTGAACAGGTAGCAATGCAAACAATACGCCGCATCCTTTTCTATATTATATTCCAACCAATGAAATTCGGAGAACCATTCTTTCCGAAAACATCTATTATCATTCCCCATCAGTCTTCTTGAAAAATCATGTTCATATGGTCGACAAAGACCATTCTCCAAGTATGTCATCCTAACAACATCTCTGATATTAAGATCATATGATTCGATGGGGGGCGTATCCCTGAATCAGATACAAGATCATCCACATTAAATTGAGCCCAAGACTTTTTTGTGTTATTCAATAACTATTGTGCTCGACTAGAATCAGTGGCGGGACTAGATGCACAGCTAGAAGTAGAAGAATTGGGTATGGACTTTCGTTTTGGTTGAAAAAATCGTTTCATAATCTGCAAAATGTCATCCTAAACGTAAATTCCCAAATCAATAATCATTCATAATATCTTATTCCCTCATCAAATCATAAATTACTCATCATAAATCACAATTCGCAAATACAATTTCGTAAACATAAATTCCCAAATATATAATCATAACTCATCATGATAAAACGTAAATTACTCATCATAATTCATAAATCACAATTCGCAAACATAAATTTCCAAATGAATAAATAATAACATAATTAATATTAAATTTTTCAATGCTCAACAATCAACATCAACAACTCCAAGATAGAACAAAATCAAAACAAAATAGGCAGACTCTGAGTAGCAGGGGCAAAACAAAATCGAACAAAATCAAAATAGCCAAACAATTGAAACAAAATAGAACAACACGTCAACACCAAAATCCAAAATAATAATAATAATAATAATAATAATAATAAAGAGGGAAAGAAAGAGTCACCGGTCTGAAAGTCTGATGCCTGATGGAGTTCACTATCCGGTTGGTGGTTTGAACGTTCGGCAGTCGGCAACAGGCGCGGAACGGGCAGCAGGCAAGCAGCGAATGCTTTGATGGAATTTGATGTTTATTCGGTCTACCCGTAGTCTGGAGCTAGTCAGCTAGGTCGTGTGGTCTGTGGTGTGAATTTGGAGCAAGAAGAAGTGAGGTTGAGGAAAATGGTTTGACAATTTGGGGGAAATTCACAATTCTTGTTGGCTGCTGCCTGAGCTCGTCTGCTCGCGATTGAAAATGTGAAGGAAATGGCCAAATGAAATGGGTTAGGGGTAACAGGTTCAAAGCCATATGTTGGATAAATTCATTTGGGCTAAATAAATTAAATAATAATAGGCCCAAAATTTAATATTTACTGAAACTTAAACCCAAAAAAAAAAAAAAAACCTGGGCGATGCCTTCATCTTCCTTCTTCTCCAATGGCTGCTGCACACTGACCAGTGACCAGGCGGTCCTGCAAGACTGCAACTCCTTACCCGGCGGCTTTGCAGATTCCGATGGAACCAACACGCGCGGCCGCGCCCCCTCGCCGGGTGCTGGCTTCGCACCTGTTGACCATACGTGGTCCAGTAGCACTCATCAGTCATCAAGCTCATTATGGAGACAAGAATCCAATTCACTCACTTACCACCTTGGCTAGGTGTGTTAAGTGGGCTGAGTCAAACTACTCGCCTTGTCCATTGTTGGTCTCAACCTTATCTGCCCGACGATCGAGCCAAAACGTGACTCACATTTTTTCTTATAGCTTTTTCGGGCAAAATTTTGAAAATTACTATTTCACCTTGCCTCCCCCGAAGACCTCACTCAGCTCGCAAGCCATCTCATGCGAGCGGACGTCCCCTTGCATGATGACTTCGCAACTCGACCTATGCATGGGACTCACGCTCTTAAGAACGGCTACCTTGTGTATTGGCCCACTAGGAGGTTACCACTTACCAGTAGCCTGGATTTTACCTTTGTTTCCATGTCTGATACCATACTAAAAGTAGCATTGAACCACTTAATTTATTATTGATATCAAATGCGTCAAAATGCACCATAACTACTTGCAAATAACCCCTCTGCAACACTGACATTCCCTGAAAGCTTGTTTGGGAAAGCTTAAAGAATTATCAATAAAGTTGAGGGTAAAATCACCACATAATACATTAGACCCACAATCACGTATTAAGATCAAACAAAATGAGATGATTGGTAGAAGAAAACAAAAAGTTGCCAGTCAATCAACAAAAAGAACATATCAATTAATCTGAATGCAATGAACTTAGAAATGAGCATAATTACCCTGAGTACATACAACATACAGTGTTCAACACCACCTGTCAACTCTTCTGTCACAGTTACAGCCATAAAGCCTATTACCCACTCTACTTCCAATTTCATGTAAAACTGGCAGTCAATAAACACTTGGACAGGTGGTTACTGTGTAAAGGTCTGTGATGATGAAACCTGATTTTGTCAAGAACCATCCATGGGAATATCATTATCGTCAGAAATATTTGTGCTTGCGTTAAAAGTAGTAATGTCATCAGAAGTGTTTTCCTGCGCGTGCACTGCTCCGAAGCTGAATTCCTGAGGAATGTCACGTGGTTGGTGGGAAAAAATTGAAGTGGAACCGCTGTTATTGAAAACAGGAACAAGAACTGGTGGATCATTGGGCTTTGGGAAGCCGAAGCTGAAGGATGGCAGGCTTGAAAGTGAGAAGCTTGGCATGGAAACGCTGTTCTCTGTTGAACCGAAAATCTTTTGTTCATAGTCCTTTAATTGCTGGAAGACAGCTACAAATGACAAATAAGAAACTAAATGTCAGATTTGAAACTGCACCACTGAAGAATGATAAGAGTGCAGGTACAAATAATTACCAACTTTATTCTAAGCACTCTCCATCCTAGCTCTCAAGAAATTCAAGCAGGAAAAGAGATCATTTTTCAAGGCAGAACTGCCAAATGAGGTCAAGAATCATGACCATTATAATACTAACATTGCAAATGCATAAATTGAAACTCTAATAAAATTTCTTCTTTGAATTTATTAACTGCTATTACTATAAGAAAACATAGATGGAGGGATTACATAGTTGTTTTTGCTTATTGGGGGGGTATACGTTACAGAAAACACACCTCCGGTGAGGTTTCTGCAATTTTTGAACACAGAAGGATGGGCATCTCTGCAATGGTTAACCTCAGGGGTTGGTGTCACTAATATTTGTGCTATTTCTTAACAATGACATGCATCTGTTGTTTCCAAAACTTTGCACACCGATAGTTCTTATTACAAAATGATTTAATTGACATTTATCATATCAACTCTCATTCATCCAGCAGAAATATTCTTGTTTGACATAAACTTTTAGCAACAGATAATCAAAAACACATGCAGCCAGTTAGTGATATAAATTAACAAGGCAGAGTTGGAATGAACCTTGAGTCAGTTCGACTGAGGGTCTCCGATCTTTCACCCATTGGTAACTTTGTGCAAGTTTCCAACCTTTGTTTTTCATCAAGTAAGCCATAACTATTGCCGGCGACCTTTCAAAACAATATAAACACGCTTTAGATGAGTTTATAATTTTTATAGAAAGTTTTAAGATCGATGTTCAAAGAAAATATTGTAAATCCAATAAGATTCCTCATAATTGAATAGGCTTATTTGTACTGGATGGTCATTAAATCATTGACTACCATGAGCCTTCACCTTATTAGGTAGAAACCATATGTTAGCATGTTAATAGGTTAAGAATACAAGCAAACATCAAGACCCAAAACATTCCCCTATCCACTTCTAACTTTGAAATCCCCTCGAAAAGAACAATGACAATCAAATTTATTTTTATTTTTTTTTTTAAAAAAAGGTAAAAGGATAAGACACGAGCTTCTTTTGGCAGTAAAACTTTTCACCTGCTTTTCCCTGACATGCAGTGAACAAGAACCCGTGCCCCATCTTTTTCACATTGTTCTGCATAAATATTATCAGCAAAATAAGTCTCAAATTAAATAAATCAAATCAAACAATGCTAAATTCATGAAGCAACTAACAATGTCCAGTCATACTGTGACATCAAAATGTCGTTGCGGAAACAGCCTTGGAATAAATTAATGATTGTATGCACTGTTCACATACGACATGATAGTCATTATAAAGGATGTTTAAAAAAAAAAAATAATAAATAATAATAAGAATAAGAATTACCACTTCAAATGCTATTTACGATTTAATAGAAAAGATGAGAGGGGGTCTCAATACTGAGAGAACCGACTGTATTGATAGCAATTCATGAACAAGGTAAGGAAAGAGTAGCTGTTACAGCCGGTTTAATACTAGTCTAAAGTAAAAAATTATTCGTTCTAAGTTAACGATTCAATTGGTCAAGGTCAAATAAGGACTTGAGTTGAAGTAAAATAATTTCATGGGGACTATTATAAGTAAATGGTATTTGTTGGGGCTAACTGGTGATTACGGAAACAAATTGGTTAGTTTTAGATAAGATGGAAACACAAGTGTCTAACTTACAAATCATACCAAAGTTGAAAGCCTCATATAAATTATTACATTGTTTCCCATTTATTTGATTGAAATGAGGTCCATTTCATTTTGGGGGAAAAGGAGAGAAGAATCGAGAGAGAAGGGGAAATAAGAGAAGAAGAAATAGAAGCAGACAGTAAACGAGGTAGAAGCGAAGAAGAAAGAAAAAGAAAAGAAGGGGAAGAAGAGAAAAAGGAGAAAGGAAAGAGATTGACAACTTTTGCATGTTTGGGTTCTTCATTTCTCCATATTTTAAATAGGTAAGTTAATTAAAATTTAGCAAGAAGTAGAGGTTATTGACGTGTATTCGAGGTATTAAACAAGAATATATCAAAGAAATATATATTGGAAGATTGGTGTTGAAGAAAGTGAAACTTTCAAAATGGGTTTATGAAATGGTTATTAATTCTTTGATTTTCTTGTGATTATGCGATGTCAAACATTTAATTTAAGGATTTGAGGTTTGACTTCACAATTTTAAGCAATTTTAAGCTATTTTCAAGCAATTGTAGTACACAGGTGTTTTTTTTGAAATTCAGCCCAAGAAAAGTGCTGTTTCTATCAACGATTTTAGTGTCGGTGTTCAATATACAGAAACAGGTGCCAAATTTCAGTATTATGGAAGTATAGTCCTGTTTTTGTCAATATTCTGGCTTTCGTTGATATTTTAGTATGGACACCAAATTAAGCATCAAATATTGGGGATTGGGCGTTAAAGTAATGTAAAGGACTTACATGTTATTAGTGACTTTCAATCGAGATTATGAGGTTGAAAATTAAAGATATCAAGTTATTACTCATTAAGCTCCCGTTTGGCTCCCATTTTTTGGAAATGAAAATGGGTAGAATAGTTTTTTTTTTTTTTTTTTTAAATGAGTGATTGAAAAGAAGGAAAAGTTTTTGATTTATGCGTAATATTATTTTATGAAAAATTGTGTGGTTGAAAGTAGAAGAGAGAAAAAGAGAATGTAATTTAATGAGATTCAAACATGAGCTAATTCTTATTTCCATTTATATGAATAATGATTGAGAAACCTCTATGAAAAGTAATGATCTCTGGAGAGATTCCAAATTTGGTATTTGAATGTGAGGAAGTGATGAGAAGATTGAAGTCACATATCGGCCGACCTAGTTTTCAGTCTACAACTCGGTGAGTGGATATCTAATTTTTAGAAATAAGCACTTATTTAAAATATATTAGTTCCCAAACTTATATGAAATAATTGTTTATTATATTTCTTATAGTAAATCATATAAGTTGTAAAAGTTATTTATTTCAGGTGATTGATTTAGAAAGCATGATTTTCAAAATAAAGTTATTTTTTTAATAAGCAATTCTTCTCAAAGTTAATTCAGTTCAGTTAAACCATTTCATTCGCTCATTATATCAATATTAAATATTTCAGCATATCTAAAGTTATTTTTAAAATCACCAGAATACCAAAATGATTTTATCCTAGTCTGCACGTGTGTGAATGTGTTTCCACAGTATATAATCTTATATAGTTATTTTACCCGCTCTGAGCTGATGTGAATGCTTTTCCATAGTGTATGAGTAGTTATTGTGATTTTAACTGCTCTGCACTATTATGAATGTGTTTCCAAAGTGTATAACCAGATTATAGCCTTTGAACAGCTCTATGTGCGTATGAAAGAACTACAAAATTATAGAATTTCAAAATTGAATAGCTTCGCCGTGTACTTTGATATTCATCGATACATATGGTTATCCCTGGTACCTTTTTGGTATGATTTTTCAGTATTATACAGCTCATCAGATTTCATAATACAGAATTTAGTTTATTTAGTTTACAAAACAAAGATTTTAACTCATAGTACCGTGGAAGTATATTTTTATTATATAAGCTTTCAGAAAGTTTGCATAAATGGAAAAAGTATACTTATTTGCGAAATATCCGCTCACTGCATTATAAGCTCCTATTTTTTGTCACCCTTTTTCTTTTCAAATAGTATCTAAGTCGAACAACCTTGGAGCCTATCAACCCACCGGTTAGCCATACAGTGACATTAGTTGTATGACTTACTTTGTAAGTTTATATAGTTTATATTTTTTGGGGCACGTACATCTTTTGTCAAAAAAAGTTAATTTGTAATTTATGTATCCATATCATGGGCTCGTTGCATATGTTGTATCTGAAGTGCAATAGGGGATTTTGGTTTGTAAAGAATAGTAAATATCTAATTAGCTTCAATTTATTTTGAATAGTTTGTTTCTAGATGGGCAAGAGTTCCCTATTTTTATATCATATGAATATTTTGGGAAAATTTATTGTTGTGATGGTAATTTTAGTCCACGTTTAAGAGGAAACCATGTTAAATATTTTTAGAAACAATTATCATAATCAAAACAAGTCAAAGTTGCCTCGATGGTGGATCCGACATTTAGCTGGTATTTACTATCGATGCACGTCATATTTCAGGTCCGCTAGAGTGATTCGGAGCTGATCATGTTAGTAGCAGTTTAAGGGACAATGATGGGGGCAGGGGCAAAAGGTGAAGGTGTTCAATTTGGATGGTGTCGTGATGGGAAACACAGCATGGGTATGGACATATCGGAATTTTGGGAAAGATTTTCCTTTTCTCCAATGAAATATAGTATTGTTGTCATGAAGGATATTGAGCAAACATTAGTTCAGAAACATTTTGAAACAAGAGTATTACATTTTTTATATCCTTCTCAGTTCAGTATTTATAATGAGTTATTTATAACCGGAACTTATTTGATATTGCTTTCTGATATTCATTCTCGCATTCTTCTCATTTTACTTTCTTTGATTACAGTAAAAGCATGGTCCTCAACAACATTGATACACAACTTCACATAACAGAAAAATCACTAGTGAATGGAAACTGAATATCTTTCTTTTACCAAGATTTATTAGCGTATCAAGGAGAAAGGTGAAAATAATAAATTAATTATTAAGGATTTATGCTGCTTACCAACAGAAACTTAACCCAGGAGTAAGATAAATCAAGAGCATTGAAGGAAGATGCACAGAAAGGAGAGTATGAATTAAAACCACACAGTCTCCCTTTATATATAAATGAATGAAGTAAGTGTATATTAAATGTTGCAGGAAGATGTAGCATTATCTTCTAAAGAAAGAAGAAAAATTCGCTGACAGATTCTAGACTGTAAAGGCAAAAAAGACTCACCAAGAAACTTGATTGCATCATCAAATGGCAATTTTGGGTCATCTTGAAGGCAGTGGTAGGTGAAAGAGTTCTTGTACAGATTTTGACAAGCAGGAACCGTCTGCAAATAAGCAAAGTTTTGCCAATATAGATACCCGAAGGTGTCAGTATGCGATGATTGACTGAGTTGCAGCAAATTGGTGGTAAATGCAAGATAGAAACGTTAAGTTACTAATATAAGCTCATATCTAAAGAGTAAGATTAAAAAGCACAATTATACATGTGTTCCCTTGAATGATAGAGATAGACAGCAAACCAATACACAAATAGTTGGTTAATACTGACAAATACTGCAAATCATAACTTTAAATAGGTAGAACATTTTTTTTCCTTTCCCTCAGAATTCTGAAATATTTTATCTTAAAATGCTTCATCTTGGCCTTTCACCTCGAAAAGCATACATATAGATGATGCTGTAAATATAACTAACCGTCAAAGTACCATCTTCCCTTGTGAATCTAACACACAAAATAATAAAATTAACCAAGATTGATGATTGAACTAGACCAACTCAAAACTGAATTCAAACTGTCATAGCAATCCAATTTTAAGAAAATAAAGCCATTTTAAGAGGTGCCGTCCGCAGCCTCTGCTAAAATTAACCAAGTAAACAACAATATGTAGAGACAGAGGGAGATTACATTGAGGACACGTGAGATACCCTGGGTCTTGAGAAGCTCGGCGCGGGAGGCGTTATCGTAGCTGCCCAAGAAGAGGAACTCCGGCAGGATCTCGGAGGGGAAGGCGCTGACGTGGTTCGAAGAAGCGGCGGAATTATCGGATACGGCTGGCATGCGGTGGCCGCAGATGCCGCAGACCTCGCCTTCCTCGTACTTGTGGTAATGCCCACAAACCCCACACGGATTCTCTCTCTCTCTCTTCCTCATAAATGATTATTGACGATCAGATTCAATCCAATTCGATTCAATCGAAAAAACTAGTAATAAATATATTGTGCAGCGAGGAGAAAGAGAAGCCTGATTCGAAGTTGAAACGGAATTTTTGAAGAAACGTCGAGTAGGTTCAGGAGTTGAGACTGGCGAACAAGGTTCCGTTAGAGCATAAACGTTTGGGTAAATTCCATCTGAGTCCCCAATCTTTATCAACATGTCATTGAAGTCCTCAACCTTCTTTTATGACTTGCGAGTCCCCAACTATAACCTATGTTCGTGTACGTATGACGTTTGAGTCAAATTTTATTTAGGGGCCGTCTGAGTTTCATTATTTGTAGATTATAATAAAATAAATAGTATTTTTTTTAAAAAATGAGTAGTTGAAAAATTCTTGATTTACGTGTAATATTATTTTATTGAAAATTGTATGATTAAAAATAGGAGAAATAAATATTTAATTTAATGTAATGAGAAATAATGGGACTCAAACGGGGGCTTAAAGATGCAGTGGGAAGGGGTGACCTTTAGTTATTTATATAATTTTTTATACACGATTTAAATTCTTCGCTTCGAATTTTTTCAAAACAAAATTTTCGAACCACCCTGCATATATTTTTATATTAATTTAAATTATAACTAAAAAATAAATAATAAATCAAAATAAGTTGGTGAATGGAAATGTTTGGCTACAAATTTTTCAAAGAGTCATGCTACATGCACATCGAGGTGGACACCGGTGTCCATTCCCCTCACATGGAGGAGGGTTCGTTTCAAATTAAATATAATTTACCCTGCATCTTTATTTTATTGTATTTTTATATTTTTTTAATTTAAATTATAACTAAAAAATAAATAATAAAATAAAATAAAATGGTTAATGGAAATGTTTTACCCCTTGTCCTGTTCCACACCTTACCGCATTTATCCCTAAATAAAATAGAATACAAATAGAAAAATATTAGTGAGTACGAGGTTCATGTTCGTTGACCATGTTACAATTGCCCAACAGGGAGTGGGGGAACTATCCTAAAATGATCATTATGTCCTGATATGAATAATGGGGATTAAAAAGAAATGAAAGGAAAAACAAATGTTTGTCTTCTCCATAACTCAAATCTAACCTATCATTGTGCACTGTCACCATCGTTTGCATCTACAAACGGCACAAACACCACCAACACATTTGAAAATCACCACTATCATGTACCACAACGACCACACTATTAACAAGGACACCAACATTATGTTGAATTTATTTGCAATTATGTTAAGAATTGAGAATCACAAAATAGTAAATTAATAAATCGAATTCATGCTTGCGGAAGCTATCGTTGATATGAATAGTAGCAGCTAAATCTTCCCTCCTCCCTTGTTCCTCACAAAGTATTAGTTATCAATGAGACAAACTAATAAAATCATATGCAAGGGAGATGGGACATAACCTTTATATAGGAAATTATTGAGTCGTACCATTACGACTAAAACTCTAATTATGATTTATTTTCGGCCCACATACTTAAAATTATCACATCATATTAAATACAACCCATAAGGTATAAAAAGTCCAATTGATCACTTAATAAATTTGACTTAATCACAAATATCATTATGAGTCATCCATCTAACCCGTAAAATTTTCAATCGAATGTGAAGCCCACATTTGAAATTATTCCAACATTCTCCCACTTGGACAAACATTTGATTGCTATAACAAAACTTATAACACCTAGGTTAGACTACATAGGTGGTCACGAAAGTATAACTCCAATAACGACACCTTACACAACATGATTCGGTTCAACAAAAATGTCAACACCAAACGTGGAAGTCATTACACCAATTAAGCGATGTAAGACCATTCCATAACTACAAATGCCAACATCCTTATCAACGTGGATTCCCATCCTCCAACCAATGTGATAGTATGTGGTATGAATTTAGCATCAAATGTGATTAAAAATTGTGCTAATTCATATCGATCCTCATAATGCTTCAGATCAAAATGAAGCAACATATCTCTAAAAGACATGTTATATTATAATGAAAAGACATAAGTCAAAATGCATGCTCAAGATAATTTATGAACAAGAGAAAAATATTTTATTATCTGAAATGGCATGTACCCGAAAACATATGGGTCACCTATGTACCCGCAAAGGGATCAAGCCAAAACGTCGTTCTTTTACATAAATAACTCCCACTATCCAAAAATATCAAATGTTTCCACAATGTCCATATTAACAACATGAGTCTTAAAGACTTTTGGAGCAAGTCCTTTAGTTAAAGGATTTGCAATCATTGCCTCTGTATTGATATGCTCTATATTCGTCTGTCCTTCCTTGACTCCATCTCTAACCACCAAATATTTGATGTCAATATATTTTGACCAACCATTACTTTTATTATTCCTTGAAAAGAACACTACTGCGATATTATCACAATACATGTTGATTGGTTTTGAGATGGAATCAATAACTTTTAAACCAGAGATAAAATTTCTTAACCAAACGGCTTGGACTGTAACCCCATAACATGCTAAAAATTCAGCTTGCAAATAGAAGATGTCACTAGAGTTTGTTTAGCACTTTTTTCAAAAGATAGCACCACCAACTAATCTGAAAATATAACATGAGGTTGATTTCACATTGACTCTAGCAAAGTCAGAATCTGAGTAGGCTACCACCTTAAGATGATTTGAACGCTGGAATGTAAGCGTATAACCTTTAGTTTTCTTCAGGTATCTCACAACTTTCTTAGCTGTTTTCCAATGCTCTTGTCTTGGATTTGACTGAAACCTGATAAGGACACTAACTGTGTAGGCTATATCCGATCTAGTGCGAACTTGAGCATACATCAAGCTCCCCATAGCACTAGCATATAAAATCGTCTTCATAGATTCCCTTATTAGCTCATTCCTTTGACATTGAGTTTTATTAAAATTATCCCCTTTTATGATAGATACATCATCAGGTCCACAATTCTGCATATTGAACCTTTCTAGGACACATCGTATATAAGCTTTCCGAGAAAGTTCTAGCAAGCCACGATTTCTATTACGATGTATTTCAATGCTAAGCACATAAGAAGCTTCTACAGGATCTTTCATCTCAAACTTAGCATAAAATATTTTCTTTGTTTCATGAAGCAACTCAAGTTACTGCTAGCAAGCAAAATGTCATCAACATACGAGACAAAAAAGATAAAATTTCTCCCATTGATTTTGAGATAAATGCATTGATCGACTGTATTTTCAACAAAACCAATAGAAGTCACAACCTCGTCAAACTTCAAATACTACTATCGCAATGCTTGCTTGAGGCCATACAAGAATTTATTTAACTTGCATATTAAGTTTTCTTTTTGTTGCACAGCAAAATTTTCAAGTTGTTTCATACAAATCATTTCAAAAAGATTTTCATTAAAAATGCTGTCTTAACATCCATTTGATGAAACTCCAAATCATAGTGTGTTACAAGAGCCATGATAATTCAAAAGGATCTTTTGAGGAAACAGGGGAGAAGGTTTCAACATAATCAATGCTCTCTCGTTGAGTGAAACATTTTGCAACCAATCTTACTTTCTTTCATTCAACATTCTCTTTTGAATCTATTTTACTTTTGAAAATCCACTTGTTATCTATAACTTTAGTATCTGGAGAAAGTTCAATAAGATCCCAAACTTTATTATTTTCATGGAACTCATTTCATCATCCATAACATTTATCCATTTATTTGCCCCAAGACTTGTCACTAATTGATATATTTGGCCTCTACAACTAACATCACTAGCCCAATGCACATAATTTTCATATGTTGGGAACATGTGTGTTGTAAATGCAATGTTAGAAACCCCATATCATAGTGAGCGAATAATGAGACTTTTCAAGTTGTCAGGTAAATAATGGGGGTTTGTAATAATTTGCCCACCGCTTCCTTCAAGGTGTTAATGCAGGAGGATAATTGGGGTTTACGAGGGCAGAATGAGGTAAGTAGCTTTTTGTTTTGCTAATTTTCTATCATGGCGATGACGATGACAATAATGGGAAATAGAGTTAGCAATGATGTTATATATATATAACATTGTGAGTGGCATGTGCAGGCCTTGTGAAAACGGGGTTTGTACAGCCAGCAAAATTTGTGAAATTAACTTGTTTGTCTTGTCATATATTTAATGGTAGTTTGTCCATGTTGTAATTTAGGCATTGTTTAATAATCATTCTATGGGAAAAGTAATATTTCGAATAGTGATTTTAAGGAGAATCTATAGTTAAAAAGTAGAAAAAAAATTTATATTTACATTTAGAATATGGTTATCAAACATGGGCACGACACTTCAATTATGAAGTAGTTGATGCTAACAAAATGATGTTCATATAACATTAATTAATTTTATGATTTCAAATAAATAAGAAATCTACGTTAAGGGTCAACTTGAATTTTGCACAAACTTAATGATTATTCAGAAATTAACTCAAAATTATTTTTTTTTGGAAAAAAAAAAAAAAACCCATTCAAATAATATGAAAACAACACGATCGCTAAAATTTCTTAAGATAGTACATTCACGAATACATAGACTCTCATATCTATATGCCTAATAAATATTCATCTCAAAGTGAGATTGCATATGACTGATAAATTTACGTGACGTTGCAATGAATAACAATTCGGTTCATGTTCTAGTAAATTGATACATGTTTAACTTAATAATGCTCATTTGCTCAATCTCAAGAGCCTCGATTGATAGATTATTAATTCTTTGAGGGCCAAATTGAAATTGATTGTTCTGTTCAGAGGCAATTAAAAAAACTAAAATAAAATACCCATTTCCAAATCGGTCCTTTTCTTCTCCGAATCGCTTCTCTTCGCCGGTGAAATTAGCTCAAGCTCACAGCTCGATTCTATTGGATTTTTTTCTTTTCATTTTTTTTTTCCTTTTCTGTTTGGATTGGATCCTGTTTATCGCGCTTTCATTTTTGGATTTATATTTTTGGTAAGTCACTGGATTTAAAATTTTATTTTTTAACCAATTATTTATTTCAGTCATATTTTCACCCAATCAAATTTTCAGCTTGCATTTAATCAGAATTCATGTCCTATTTTGATTTCCCCCAATTTGATGGAAACCTAACATTGTCAATTTCTTCTGATGCCGCCGCAA